GGCAGGCATTAGGCCCTGGGTTCCACCTCAGCATCACTCAAAATAATGATGATGGTGGTGATGATGGTGATGATAAAAATAAAAAAGGAGCATTCAGGTCACCGCCAGTCTGGGGTCCTGGTGTGCTCTCCCGGTCTGCTTTACTTTCCCCTAAAGACTCACCTAATTCAGTGGCAGTCACCACCCTCTAGTTTCAGGGATGAGGAAGTCTGGATTCTGTGCATCACTTGGTAGGGATGGGAGGGGGAGAAACAGGCAAGAGGCCAGGAGAAGGTCAGAGAGCCCTGCTTCTGAGGCCTTCCAATCCCCTGCAGTTCAAAGTACTCAGCCTGCCAAGGTGCCAGACTTTGGGGTACAGTGTCCTGGGCCCTGCATGGCCTCCACCCAGCTTCCACAGTGACCAGTGTTGATTATTCTGGTCCCCACCGTGGCCACCTCAAGCCCATTTCGAGGTGGGATGTTCCTAACCCAAGCCCCTTGTCTTGGTCACTTTCCTTGTTGCGACAAAATACCCAACACCCACAACTTAAAGGTGGAGAGGTTTATTCTGACTCACAGTTTGTAGAGATTTCAGTCTGTAGCCAGCTGGCTCCAAGGCCAAGCAACACAGTGGAAGGCCCTGGGTGAAGGAAAGCTGCCTACCTCCTGGCATCCAGGAAGCAGGGCGGGGAGATACAGCAACACCTTCCTGGTCAAGCCCACTGTAAGCCACCTCTTCCAACCAGGCCCCACCTCCTAAATCCCCACCTTGCAAGTCAGCAAGAAGCCCCCGGTCCAATCACCTTCCATGAGTGCCGAGATATAAAGCATAGCACCCCTTTCTTTCCCAGATCCCTGCGGGCCACCTGCCTCCCCAGACCTTCACCTCAGGATAACGGATCTCGTAGAATTCACCCTGCTCAACTTCATATGCTTTGTCAATGCCTTTTTTTTTTTTTTTTTTTTGGTACTGGGGATCAAACTCAGGTCCTCAGCTTGAGAGGCAGGCACCAGAACCACTGAGCTAAATCCCCGGCCCTGTCAATGCCTTTTGCCAAATAAGTACTTTGATTTTCTTTTCAGTTTTGGAAACTGAAAGGACAGATTGGACTGGTCTCAGGGGACAAACTCTGGATCCATTTCTGTATTATATCTGGCAATGGATCGTCCAGAAATCCACACACTATGTAGGAAAAGTGATTGAAGCTGTATTTTTTTTTTTGGTACCAGGGATCTAACTGGAGTCCTTGCGCTTGCGCAGCAGGTGGCGAAACCACTGAGCTAAATCCCCAGCCCTGAAGCTGTATTTTAACATATACTAGCATAGTTCTACACTTGATCTTAGCCAAAAGGCTGAGAAGTGATGCTACTAGCATAGTTCTTAGAACCTGTGTGCTAGAAATGTCACATAGAAGCTTAACAAAACCACAGCATTCCTGGTGAGATTGGGCACAGCTGCAATGGCTTCCAGCAGAGCCTGAGATCGAATCACTATTGAAGAAGTCACTGTAGATCCTATTTTAGGTCCCAGACATTTTTAATAAGGATATCATCATATGGCAGCTCTCAGAACTCTAATGAGGTTGGTGGGACATTTTCATCTTGTATTTATTGAACACTGCCAGATATGAGCCATTGAGCCAGATGCTGGGGCCACTGCAGTTATAAGATATCCCAGATTCTTGCTTTCAAAAACTAATGGTCTAGATTCTGAACCTCCTTAGCACTGCCCTTTCTGCACGTGGGACTGACAGCACATCTCTAGTCCTGCCCACAAAACACAATACTGCACCCCAAAAGCCCATCAATAGAAAGGTGGGAATCCCACCTCTGCCCACACTCCCATCCTCTGAGAACTATGGGGGAGGGAGGTAGGTGGCAACACTGACATAAATTCACAAGCACATAAAGACTTTGTGATGCAGGTGGTCAGGTAGCTGTGGTCAGGAATAGATGGGGGAAGAGGAGAAGAGGGTAGAAGGATGAGAAGGTGTAGCCATGAGCTTTCTGAGGATAGGGAACAGCTTGTGTGTTGTGCTAAGGCCCCAAAGTGGGAGAGAGCTTAGTGAACTTAAAACACATGGGAAGAATGGCTGGTATCAAGAAATCAAGTTATAATAAATGCTGGCAATGAGTGCCAGTTAGGGGGCTTCAACATTGCTGGGGATTTAGCTTCAAACTAGGGCCGGGGATTTAGCTCAGTGGTTCCGGCACCTGCCTCGAAAGCACAAGGTCCCAAGTTCGATCCCCGGTACCAAAAAAAAAAAAAAAAAAAAAGATGAGGAATGTAAACTGATACAACAACTATGGAAATCAGTATTCCTAAGAGACTAAAAATAGAAAGTCCATTCAACACAGCTTTCCTTCTAGTATCTTCCCGAAAGAGTTGATGTCATCATATTACAGTAATATATGCACATCACAATTCAAAATAGCTAAATCTTGGAATCAGTGGCCTATATGTCCATCAACAAATGAATGGGTAAAGAAAATGTAATATTCTCGGTGGAAGATGCATGCTTGAAGCCAACTGCTGCTAGCTTATTACCACCTGGGAGCACAAAGGTGACTTAAGGATGTCTGGTGAGGACTTTGGAAATTTAATCTTCAAATTGCTTTGACCATTTAAAATTTCCAGGAGTCTAAGGAGTGCTGAAATAATTGCCTGTTATAGTCCAGGAATATAATTTTAAGATTAAATAAATATTTTCATGTGAAAAAAAAAAAAAGAAAATGTGATATTTATACACAATGGAGTACTACTCTGCCATAAAAAGATAAACTTGAGGGGGCTGGGGATTTAGCTCAGTGGTTTCACTGCCTGCTGTGCAAGCTCAAGGACCTGAGTTCGATCCCCGGTACCAAAAAAAAAAAAAAAAAAAAAAAAGATAAACTTGAGTCATTTGTAGGAAAAGAGATGCACCTTGAATCCATAATTTTAAGTGAAACAAATCAGATATTATCATATGGTTTCTCTCATATAAGAAACCCAAAGTATAAATAAATCAAAGAGTAAGGTAAAAGATAAACAATAAGAAACAGGCAGATAGATCTGCAAAGGGAAAGGGACCAAGAGATGTTGGGAAGGGAAGAGGACATAAAAAGGATGAAGATGTGCCATGTGCATGTACCACTCCCCTCACGGTGGATGATTTCATTATGTACTGCAAACAAGCACTCATAGAATGAAAAAGAAAAACCACGGTGGTGCTTAGCACACGCGAGGCCCTGGTTTCTATCTCCAGCACCACAAACAACACAAAACACAGAAGGAAGCCAGGTGGGGCTGGAGGGAAGGTTGGAGGAGCAGATAGGGGCCAGGCTGGGTGGTCTTGAGGTTCATGAACCTGGATTATATTCTGTTTTTCGTTCCAAGCCACCAAAGGACTTTAAGAAGTAACTCAATGTGGTGATGATAATAATGAGAAATAGTTCACACTACTGGGCACTTGATTAGACTCCGAGTCCCCATACGTATATTCAGCATCTCCTCATCACAGCCCCATGAAGCAAGCACTATTTGTGTCCTGTTTACAGACAAAGAATCAGAAGCGTGGAGAGACTAAGGACTGGTGCAGTTACACAGCTAGCAAATTCTGAACCAGGAAGCAGTATTGATGATGGTTTTTAAAGATCAGCAGGGCCGTAGGGCAAAAAGGTGGATGGTGGGAGGGAAGAAGGGCAGCAAGGAAGACTTGAAATAATCCAGGTAGAAGGGGGTAGTCCTTAGAAGGGGTCAGGACCTGGGTGAGGCAGGTGGAGTGTTGGCCTCGGATGCAGAACTTAATAGGACAGCTCCAAGACTCAGATATTAAGAAAATATTTCAATAAAATATCCTGAAAATCAAGATGATGGAAAAATTCCATTATGAACAAAATATCAAAGTTTTAATTAAAGACAAGACGGGTGCTCCTGATTTTTCCTTTGTTTTAGGCTCAGTATGGCAGTGTGGGGCACCAGTCCGGACTAGGGAGACAGGCAGGACAGGGGTGGGGATGGGGTGGGCGGGCTTGAGCATCTCTCCTGCCGCTATCTCTTACAATCATTCCTCTGGACAGCAGATAGCCAGCATCTGTGTTCCTGGTACCAGGTTGGGGTCTTGTCCAGGTCCTTCATGTCCTAAACAAAGACTTGTGCAGGACATCGAAAGTAGCAGCAGGATCAATGATTTATTTGAAAGACAAAAAGACCAAATACACGCCATACATGGCAGGGGGAGGGTCAGATCTGCATAGTCGATGACACTGTCATGGGGTTGGGGTGGGACCCACAGTAGAAGACCCTGGCACATGCTAGGGACTTACAGTGCATAAGCTGCGTTTCCCGCTTAGCTTTTCCCACTGTTTCTAGGCCTGGACATCTTAGTCTGGGCTAATGTTTAACTGAAAAGTTTCCCTAGTCCCAGAAAGCGTACTCCAAGGCGGGCTGCCCGCCTTTCTCTCTCCAGCCTTTTGCTTAGCTATCTTGCCTCACTTTTCCAAAGAACCTGGAGCCCATTCTGGCCGAACAGGTTTCATTTGTTGAAACAGTTGCTCTTTGCACCCGAGAGCGGAATTTATTCCTTCCGCTCTTCTGAGAAAAGTTTTCGGGTGTAAGTTCAGAGAATGAATGGAAAGCAGCCGACGCAAAACAGAAGGTAAAGAAATGGCCAGGGATGGTGTGAGCACGGGTTCAGGTACCAAGGAGCAGGTAAGCAGCGGATGTTGGAGGGCAGACCCGGCTGCCTGTTTGGACACCGCCGCCAGGCGGAGCATTTGGTCACTTGAGAAACTGCTCAGGAGGCGTTATTCTGTGGGTCTTGCTCTGTCTCCCGGGACGTCTGTCCTGAGGGCCGCACAGCCCGAGCCGGTCTGCAGGTTGACTGTGGTCTTCCAGGTGGAGACTGTCAGATCGCGTAGGGCGGAGCAGGGGAGCAAAGGCCGCGGGGCGTGGAGAAAGTGGGCGGAGTTAGAGCCGAAACGGGGAGGTGGGGGCCTGTCTGAAGAGGCGTGGTTAAACCTACTGGGCGTGGCATACCGAGCAGGGCGTGGCCTGGGCGTGGCAGCGCGCGGGTCGAGAAGATGGCGCTCTGTCTGCTGCGGAGGGCGGCTCTCGGAGTGGCAGTGGCGCGGCCGAGGCTGTGAGTGCGGGTCCCCAGTCTCCGCCGCCGGCCCGGCTCGCGAGGGCCGGCTCCGGAGCGCTCGCGGGAACTCCCGCGGGGAATGGTGTGCGCCTTCGATGCGCGGGCTCGACCTCAGTCAAGGTCGTCGTCGGCGGGCCGAGCGCAGACCCGGGCAATGGGCGCAGACGGACGCTGGAGTCCGCTCCCGGGAGGGGGCGCCTCCCCTGACGCTCGCGCGCCTAGCACAGCGGTTCCCAGACGTCTGGTCTCAGGACCCTCTTAAGTGCCTAGAAATTACCGAGGGTCCCAAAGAGCTTTGCCTATACAATATCTTCCTTTTTGTGATATCAGGAATTAAAACAAATTTAACACAAATGACTTGGTTTTTATTTTATTTTATTTTTGGTACTGGGGATGGAACACAGGGCGCTCTACCTGAGCTACATCCACAGCCTCGTTAATTTTTTGTTTTGAAAGACGGTCTTGCTAAATTTCCAAGCTGGGATTGAACTTGCAATCCTCCTGCCTCTACCTACCAAGTAGCTGGGATGACAAGCATGTGGCACCGTCCCTGGCTGACACAAATGAAATGTTTTAACGAAGAAACCTATTTTAAATTTCTATTTCTTTTTCCTTTTGCTTTGTGCATGCTGGGCAAGTGTGTTCTATTTGCCACACCACACTGAGTTACATCCCCAGCCTTTAAAGAAAAATTGAGAAGAGTAGTGTTTTTTTTTTAAGGCTTTATATTTTTGAAACTTTTTGACTTAATAAGAGTCAACCACAGTCTCACATCCAATGCTTTGGAGGAAATATTTGAAAGAAATTCTGGTTTGGCAGATGCAAAAACTGAAAAAGGAGGACAAACCAGACCTTCAGCAAAGCTCTGGGGGAGACCCAGGTGTCTTTGGACCACACTTTGAGAACCGCTGTTCTAGCACTTGCCTGTTCCGTAATGTCAGGCACAGACATGATCTCATTTGGTTTCCCTGAGCGCCATGTAAAGAAGTTCGGGTTAGCTTTATAAGGAGAAAAAAATGAGGAAACTGAGTCTCTCAAAGCCCTATAACCAGCAGTGGCAGTGTTTGGTTTGGAAACCGAAGTTGTGGTTCCTTGTCTGTAACTTTCTACATCTCCTTGCCCTGTCCCACATCCCATGGCAGGCCCACCTTGTCCCATGCTTCTCACCTTTGCTTCCCCTCTCCCCATCCATGCCTGGCTCAGGGCAGCACCCCTGGAACGGAGCAGCCACTGGGGAGGTGAACCCAGGCCCTCCAGATTCCACTTCTGAGCCATGAAGGGGCAGCCTATGTGCCCTGCTCAGTGGTCCCCACTTCCTTTTTTTGTATTTTGAGACAGGGTCTTGTTATGTAATTGAAGCTGTCCTTGAGCTCACTGTGTAGCCCAGGCTGGCCTCAAACTCATGACAATCCTGTCTCAGCCTCCTGGGTGCTGGGGGTTGCCATTTCTGACCTAGTTGGGGCTGCATGACCAGTGCTCTGCAGCTCCCGAGCACCTTGGCACCTTCTCCGCCCACCTCCTCACTCCCCACCAAACCCCTGGACACAGAGCCTCACCAGGGGCCACATAAATGGGCCCTGGCATCTTCCGAACACACCAGGATGGGAGAAGTTAAGGAACTGAGTGTCAGTTGCTTAATGGTGGCTTAATTTCTCTATCCGATGGGTTACCCTTCAGCTCAGGCCATGGCAGCTCGCTGTGGCTTTTGCCTTCTGTTTCTAGAGTGGCAGCACCATTCCTGCACAGGGAAGGGTCATTTTCCACCCGTGCTGAATTTATACAAATCATCCTGCTCTCAGGAAGGGGAGCATAACTTCTCCCCGACAGAGCCAAGACATAGGTGTGTGACTGCTAACCTGCATATGTATACACATCTATGACTATTTCTACACAGAGCCATCTGTGAGCATGTTGAGCTACACATGTGTTCTTAATGTCTCCCATCTAATCCGTCACCACGTGGACCATTTTAGCCGCCTTCCTGTGCTGGTTTATAAATCGCCACTCCATCCGCCATCCTTTACTCAATGCAAGTGTAGGGATGTCAGAATTGCTAAGCTGCACCCCATGGGAGAAGAGTTTAGCCTCTAGAGTACAGTGCTCATCTGCAGTTGCTTCCCTGTGGTCCAGTAGGTTCCACTCATTTCCAGAGTTACTTAGTTCAGCACCTTTTCCTGCCTGTCTCCTCCAGGGAGTGTGATCCATGTGTCTGTAATAGTTACATGTTCTTGTCACAGTCTGCATTCTTCTCCAGAATCTCTCTACCTCCTCGATATTTTTTAATATCAAATATTGAGGTTCATTCCTTGTGCTGTGAAGTTCTATGGGTTTTGATAAATACATAATGTCATGTGTCTACCACACCTTATTACATACCATACAGGATCACTTTTCCTCCCTAAAAAGTCCAGTGTCCTTCACCTACTCACTCATCCCCTCCCCCAGACTCCTGGCACTGGTAGGTCTGCATCTTGCCTTTCCCAGAATGTCATATAATTGGAATCATGCATTATGTAGTCTTTTTAGACTTTCACTTGAAAGTTCTTTCACTTGAAAATATGCATATACCTTCTTTTGTATCATCCAGGCATGGTGGCACATGTCTGTAATCCCAGCACTTTGGGAGGCTGAGGCAGGAGGATCACAGATTTGAGCCTGGCCGTAGCAATTTAGTGACTTAGGGAGACCCTGTTTCACAATAATATAAAAAAGAAAAGGGCTTGGAATTTAGATCAGTGTGAGGGCCTTTGGTCCACTCCCTGGTATACACACACATACACACCATGCTTTTTGTGGTGTGATAACTCATTTCTTTTTATTGCTGAGTAGTATTTCATTCTATAAATGTACTATGGCTTGTTTATCCATTCACATTTTTCTTTGTTTTCTTTTCGGTGGTGGCAGGTATCCAGCCCAGGGCCTTGTGCTCACCAGGCAAGCGCTCCACCATCCCCAGACCTCCATTCACCTATTGAGGGACATTTTGGCTGCTTCCAAGTTTTTGTTGATTATGACTAAAGTTGATATTTATAATCTATGTATCTGTCTATATAAAACTACAGGTTTTTGTGTGGACATACATTTTCAGATCCATTGGGTAAATTCCTGGGAGTATGATCCACAAATTGTTTGGTGAGATTATGTTTCATTTAATAAGAAACTACCAAACTCTTCCCAGTGGCTGAGCCATTTTACATGTCTGCCATCAATGCATGATCATTGCTGTTGCTCCTTATCTTCACCAGCACTTACACTGTGGGTTTTTAAAGTAAAATTTTAGCCATTCTAGTAGGCATGTCGTGGTATCTTGTTTTAATTTGTTAATCTGTTTAACCTGAATGGTGTTGAGTATCTTTGCGTGTGCTTTTTTGCCGTCTGTATGTATTCTTGGTGAGAGCTGGGCAGACCTTCTGCCCGTCTCTTAGTTGGATGTGTGCCATTGTGATATAAGAAACACAAGCTTGCCGGGGATTTAGCTCAGTGGTTCTGCCGCCTGCTTTGCAAGCTCAAGGACCCGAGTTCGATCCCGGTACCAAAAAAAAAAAAAAGAAAGAAATACAAGCTTGGTCTGTCTCCCTGTTTCCTGCCATGGCCCCCTAAAACCCTTGAGTTCTCAAGGTGATGTGTCTTTTGTTCGCTAATGAGGTTCCTGGTGTTTAGGGCCCTGTTGAGCTTTAGGACGGAGGCTTTCAACAGAAAGACCAGGAAACCTGTTTCCCTCAGTTCTGTGAGCAGCTCTAGCAAATTAATTGAACCTTACGAGGGGTTTTATTTTTATTTTTATTTTTTATTTTTTGGGAAGCCCCCGACTGAAGGCCAATAGGCCAGAACACAACTACAAAACCTGGGGCTTAGTTTGCTTGGGAAGTGAGGTAGCCTGGGCCTGAACCCTTCACTCAGTGCGCGCGCGCGCGTGTGTGTGTGTGTGTGTGTGTGTGTGGAGAGAGAGAGAGAGAGAGAGAGAGAGATGCTGTCCAGGTGGATCGTGTCAGAATTGCCGGAACTCTGGGATGCCCCGTCGCTTAGAGTGTGGAGAAACCCCTTCCCTTCTGGTCAAGAAGTGTTCTGTGCTGTAGTGTACGTGAGGTAGGAAAACACTGTGGCCTTTCCTGTCTCATAGGTTGTTGTTTGTTTTCTTATTGTTGAGTTTTAAATGCTGCTGGTATATATTAAGCCTTTATCAGATTTATGTTTTGGAGATATTTTCTCCAGGTCTGTGTGGTTTTTTTTTGGTACCAGGGATCGAGCTCGGGTCCTTGTGCTTGCAGAGCAGGCGGTGGAACTACTGAGCTAAATCCCCGGCCCTTCTGTGTTTTGACTTTGCGTTCTCTTTATAGTGTTTTTCACAGAGCAGAAGCTTTTTGAGGTTCTTTTTTTGGGTACCGGGAATCAAACTCAGGATCTTATGCTTGTCAGGCTGCCACGGTGCCACTGAGCTAAATCCCCAGCCCACACAGCAGAATTTTTTAATTTTGTGAAGTCCAGCTTATCAGTTTTGCTTTTTTTGGTACCAGGGATCGAACTTGGGACCTTGCGCTTGCTCGGCAGGCGCCAGAACTGGTGAGCTAAATCCCCGGCCCCTGTTTTGTCTTTTGTGACTCATGTAATTTACATTTTATCTAAAAATTTATTGCTAAACAGAAAGTCATAGATTTTTTTCTTGTGTTTTCTTGTAGAAGTTACTTTTTTTTGTATCAGTGTGTTTATTTTATTTTATTTACTTTTTCTTTTTTTTGGTTTATTGAGACAGAGTCTGTTGTAGTTCAGGTTGGCCTTGAACTCACTATGTAGCCCAGGTAGGCCTTGAACTTGTGACCCTCCTACCTCAGCCTCCAGAGTGCTGGGATTACATGTGTGCACCACAACATCTAGCAGTGCATGTTTTTAATATAGAAAAGTGATGTTTGTTTTTGGGAACTGATACATATGTATAACATATCTCGATCAGTCTTGTAGAAGTTGTACAATATAGTGTTTTGTACTTGCTCTGTGATTCA